TTGCGAGGATGTCCAAAGATATTAACAGATTTTAGGATTCCCACTTAATTTCTTTTGTGAAAATCCCTCATCGACCGATTGTGGATTTAGACTGAAAAAAACCCACATAGACATTGCAGACTGTACTAATAGACCCAAAAGGCTAGGAAGAAATTGTATGTTATACTTTGATGTATTACCTTGCCAGGGGACTATATCGCCAGGGCATGTAGGATGATTGTAAGATTCCTGATCCAATAGCACAGAGTTAGCGATTGGTTTGGGGTTATATACTATTAGTTAATGATATAATAGCCTTGGGTATGCTGGTGAGTTTTGAATCGCAATTGTCAATCTATGGAATCAGTTATTGCAGAATGATGGACAAAAGGAAGGGTCAACCTGAGATGAAGCTAAAGGGGATATTGTTATGTCCTCTGTTGTAGAGATGTAGGGATCGGATTTAAATTTTACTGCAAAGAGTGTAATAAAATATCCACCCCGGAGAAAAAAGAATCCAAAAGACATGTCAATATTGTAAAATGGTCTTTGACTACATAGATGAAACAAGAGGCCCACGGGCAACGGCGCTTACCCGAGTAACTTTGGCCCAGATTTTAAACAATATTTTTTTCCCCTCTTCATTCCAACGGAAATTTGGCCTTGACTTAGTCTCAAGGAATAATGATTCAACCAATCTTGAATCAAAATAACCTATAGAGATGTTTTAAAATGACTAGCATGACATTGCTGTTTTGGACTAGAATATAAACGATTTTTTTTCATCGTATACATGTATTAACTAAAATTTGATCTCCGAGATCCTGCTGTTCTTCTTCGGGTTTTGAAAGATTTTCCCCACATACCAGTACTTCCATATGAATATACGACTAATTATGGCCCTGCTGTTCTTCAGATGTTTTCCTATATGCTCCAATGTAAAACGTTGATCTCCAGTTTTGGCCCCACCCTAACCTGGGGGCATGATTTAAACAAATTTGAATCTACATCATATATGACTAATTATATAGCCCTGCTGTTCGTTAGAATATTATAAAAGACTTTTCCCTCCATAATGCCATGTCAGATTATGATCTCTTGTTGACTACTGTGGCTCCATTCTTATCCTGGGGTCATGATATGAACAAAATTTTTCACAAAATATTCATTTAATCTTAATTACCGGTACCCCCCCCCCCCTTGAAAGAAATGGGGTATAACTCTCCAATTATCTCCATGAGTTCCGGATGTTAAAAAAACTTAAATTTAGGAAACTTTGTAGTAAGTAAATTTGGGTGAAATTGGCCTCGTGATTCTTGAGAACTCGAAAATGTTAATAAAAATTTACAGTAAAGACGAATAACAACTCCTGAAGAATAATGACTAGGTTTATTTGTCGGTGTTGAAAAATTACCCGGCCCTCAATCGCAGCAAAATGTACTTATTTTGTAGAAAATGGAATGATTTGTAACCAGGAGCTCGTAACATAAAGCCTCTTTATGTTCTTTATATTCTTAAAAGCAGTCTTTTGTATAATTGTTTACTTATAGTGAAATAAAGTGTTTATAATGTTTATAACCTACTTAAGTATACCAACCATGTAACATCATGCACGCCTGCCATGCTGAGAGTGTTATTAAAATCAATGTTCAATAAATCAGATCAAACTACATTGTATTCAACTTATTTTGATATCCCGCTATTATTTACTTATCCTCTCCTTGCCCCCCCCCCCCCCACACACACACACACACCTTCAGGGGGACGCATGAGCCGTTGAGGCCGTTTATATACCGCTATTACATGCACATTATTATTTTGATTAATGAATCATGAACGTTCTAATGCCGAAATTTAACAATAAATAGTTCTAAATATGTGTAATGGTACTTAAGACATACTTAAGTCAACTCTACCTTTCGCCTAAGTTTTGCTTATAGAAAGTCAGATGTTAGCACGCTTCTTAAGTCTAAGAATGCACTTAAGCCCTACTTAAGCATGGTCGCAAACTATATTACGAACCCCAGTTGTCAAGATACTGGTGGTAGACAAAAACTTTCTTGAAGTCTTTTTTCACATATTTAATAAGCAAAATCTATAGCCGCATTGCTTTGAACAGATGAATGAATTTTTGTTTTTAAAAAAGGAAGAAGATATTTCCCGTTTTTTAAGAGGGTGCAATCGCGGTCTTACCACAAAGAGACAAATTGGCTCCAAAGTTGTGTACGTGAAATTTTAATGCGCCTTAATTTTTAAAATACCCAACATATGAAAAAGAACAAGTGTAATTTCATAATTTTTTTGTATTGAGACAACATTCAACACATTATGTTTTTAACCACTCACTCTGCAGAATATTGCCAATTTTTATCCTTGATTTTGAGTTTGGATCAAGAATTTTATGGATAAGTTCTACACAGTGCGATGAAATCCTTTCTTTCACTTTGTCGGGAATGGAAATACCTTCAGAAATCTGTTTTTTCAGCATTTCCTTGATATTCCTATCATCAAATGGCATTTTTCCGCAGATCATAATAAAAAGAATAACCCCTAAACTCCATACATCGTTAGTTCTTGGGTCATAAGGCAATCCACGCAGAAGTTCCGGGGAAGCATACGCTCTGCTGCCACAGTATGTCTTGCACATGACAGCATTATGCTGCTGATCGAGATACATACGGGAAAAACCAAAGTCAGAAACGGTTATTCTTTTGTCACGCATAATTAAGATATTTTCACATTTTAAATCACGATGTGTTATTCCGAGATCATGCAAGTATTTTATAGCCTCTGCCATTTCTCTAAACATTCGCTTAGCATCCTCTTCGGAGAGAGTGCCGCATGCTTGAATTAACTGCAATAAATCTCCTTTCTCAGCGTAGTCCATCATAATGTAGACGGATTCACCTTGATACAGTACATCATGAGTGACTATAACATTCGGGTGCTTTACAAGGGTTGAAATTTCCAGTTCCCTGGGCAAAAACTTTTTAACATAGTTTTTCTTCGCATTTCTTTTGTCAATCATCTTTACAGCCAAAATTTCGCCGTCTCTTGTTCTTTCGGCGATTCTTACGTTGGAATAGGTTCCTTCGCCGATTTTTGGACCCAATCTGTAACCATTTGAAGACAAAAAATCCGCTAATCGCAAAAACTCGCGGGAAGTCAGCGTCTCTTTTACATTCATCTTGTATGAACGATGTTTGTCTATTGTGACGTCATAATGGTACGTGTACAAAAAGATCGTTATTAGCTATATAAGTACAAACTGAAACAGATTTGTTGGGAAAAAACTCTGACACAGATACATTCGATCAGTGCACATCATTAAAGCAACTTTGTTTTCATTAAATATTTATTCTTGATAGACATGTAACCGGTACATAACCTTTCCCGCCGCCGATACCCACGTGCAAAGAATTTACTGTGATGGAAATAAAAAAATACAATGTTTGAAAGAATATTTACGACGAAAATATTTTATATGTACTTATATGACAATGAATTAGAGTGGAAGACATGCTTTAGTAATGAAATAAATTCCCAAACTCCATCACCAGCCTGGCATCTGATACTTTATTGATTAGTGGTAGCGATGGGATGCTCATTCCAAACAACCTAAAATCCATAAACATTGAGCAACTCTGCATCGACAGGCAATGCAATTAGTATCTCATAATCTTTGAGCATTAAATGGGCGGATCAAGGTTTTGAAGAATAAAAAAAAAGACTTACATGCAAAGCATATTTGTTATACATATGCAAAAAGTGTGCATTTTATTTTATTTTGACTTATAAAGTTTAAAGTTCATTTCGTAAAACAATCTTGAAATTATTTGACACCTTTAGGTATAGGAGTGAAATAGGCTTTTAGTAAAAATCTTATATAAAGTCATGGGGAGGGGAGATCTACCTCTAACTTTTTGTCAAAACTTTTCTATTGTAATAAAGTAGGACACACTAGCTTCCACCATATCGTAACAAAAAGTTGCAAAATGGAGGGAGGATGGGGGTAAGCAGGTTTGAGTGAAAAATTTCGTACTAAATTTACATTAAAAAAAACTATTCTGAAAAAGTGGAGAGGTCCCCTACCCCCCCCCCCTCTCAAGTAATACGGGCCTGTTTGTATGTTAATATAAAAAATTATGTGAAGGAGACCTCATTCCCAAACACTCTTGTGTACTACGGATCTGTTTTATATCAAAACAATGTTATGGAAATTTATTCATTCATTCATTAATTTTGTAAAAGCTTATTGGACTCAATGGGGGAAAAAATGTGCTGAAACACTTAACATTTACAGAGATTCTAGAGGAGGAAATGTAAATTTGGTAAATGATTTTTAAGAAACTACATGTATAATATTCCATTTCTATCAACATAACTTTTATATAAAGAAATTATACTACTTGTAAATTAATTAAGAATGACCCCCCCTCCCCCCCGACATGTATATCAGGCTAGTGGCGAATTACATTGTTATGTAATGCATTACACTACATCTATAATCTGGGCATTAAATGACCATTACCATTACTCTTATTTCTTTAAGTAATTTATCACATTACCATTACTTTAGTAAAGTAATTCATTACCATTACTTTTCAGGTTTCCAAAAATATAAATACAAAATTCGTGCAACCCTCTCCTGAACTGTTTTGAATTTATCAGACAAAGATTGTTCTGATCTAGTTAAATAGCATGATTGAATCTCAGCTAATCAGAGAGCTAGGAATTATTCAATTATATATCAAAATTCTATTTAATTTTTCAAAACCAAGCGTAAAAACAAACCAACAGACACAATTGATTTATTTCATATATGGAATTTTAATGTGATGTAAATAAAAAGAAATAGTGTAGGTTCGTTAAAAAATACCTTTTAAAAACCGTCAATGTGTATTATTGTAAATTTTTCATTGAAAAACCTCGATATCCACAAGGTACTACACACGTTTTGCAGTTAATTTTATTCATCGGGATCGTTGTTTGTTAAATTCTAGAAACAACAATACGCATGCGTCAAATAGTTTTGGCTTTCTTCGCAACGAAGAGGAGTATTGAAATATTTTTTTAGAAGTCAGAATACACAACCATGTCGTACAGAGATTTGAGAAGTATGTCAATTATAAATATGTGTTTGTTACTTTTCATACATGATCATTTTAAAAATCATCAACCCATATCGGACAAGAGAGAACCGCAAGAAATGATCACTTTTATTCACTGACAGGTTATCTTGCAGTATACTTAATGCTCTTGCTATATTTATAGAAAATATGCTAATCATGTGTAGTGAAAATAAAGACGTATTTGGACCGCAGGTACTTGAGTCTTGGTTTATAGATATGCATACCTATTGAATATGAAAAAAGTACTCTGTATATGAAGTCAATATATATCTTGCATCGTTCCGCTCAATGCATTTTACTTGAAGAAATGGACGTTTTTACACTTCTAAGTGCCTAAGAATTTTGCTAGACTGCTGTACTTATGGTTACAATGATGACAACTGAATTTGAAGCTAAATTATGAAAACATTTAGTGTACACTAACAGGTGCAATTCCTCACAGTAAAATACACATGTTCATCGCAGTAAAACATGGTTATACAGTAAAACATGCTTATAGCGAACACACTTATGATGAATTGACGCTTACAGCAAAGTGATTTTAAAATATATTGTATACTTTAAGTTAACAGATATAACAAATTATGTTTATAACGAAGCAAAATTGCCCATCCCTGGCACTTCGTTATAAGCATGTTTTACTGTAGCGAACATTCTTATAATGAATTCACACCTACAGTGATGTGAATTTCAATCGCTGTTGGCTTAATATGTTTTGTGATCTTAACTGGTATAATGAGTTATGTTTAAAATGAATTAAAATTGCAAATTTCTGGCACTTTGCTATAAGTGCGTTTTACTGTATACATATACAAAATTGAGAGGATCTGCCCAGGAGTGATTGCTGTGGGTATAAATTATATTTCCTGATAGTATTTTTATGAAGACAGTGTTATTTTGGTAATTCAATTCAGATTATTGATAAGGAACCTTCACCAAATGCATCAAACACTTTTTCTTTGATTTTCAATTTTAGTACAGAAGAGCTTTGCTCATCTAGAAACTTGAGTTTACAAGAAATCATCTGGATTAATGAAACAGACTTTTTATTATTTGGAGGTTTAAATGTTAAGTTAACAGTTAACTGTATTCTCACAAATTTAATCTAGAAAGTGAAGAGTCCTGATTATTGGTGCCCCAATTATTGAGGCTCCATTGTAAAATGATTTCTTTTTGTAATTCATTATTATGTAGTGGATAAATGTGCTAATAACTTCATGCAAGTTACCAAAATATGAAGTCTGCAAAGGTAAAGAAGGCTTTAGGTTACCTTTTATTAATATCTGATTGTTTTCAGAATACACTGAGATGATGAGGGCTTGCATACAGTCTGATTATTTTATAGATTTCACTGAGATGATGAGGGCTTTAGGATACCCAAGATTAATCTCCATGGAAAACTTTCGAAATCCAAACTTCCCTCTGGTTGCTGAAGTTATGCGATGGCTTGTCAAAAGGTATTTGACAATTTTAGATGGTGCTTTAATTTAAACTTTTTTTTTTATCAAGAGCTTGAACAACAAGATTTACGATGATTTCTTACAATTTTAGATATGACCCAAATGCTGACATACACAGTGATATTGACACAGATCAAGACAGAGTGATATTCATCAAAACTGTAGCAGAATTCATGGTTTGTTCAAGTCTTGATTCTATGATCTATTGAAAATTTAGTTGTTTTAACTTGAAATATTGCAATTAAAAAATCTTTCAAGCTTGAGTGGATTTCATGGTTTTTACAGAAGCTTCATAGAGTCAGCTACTTTTGAAATAATTAACAATGATGATGTTTATAAAAACTGAAGAAGTAATTTCATAACTGAAATATTTCAATTGTCAAATCATTTTGTGTCATTTTAAAAAGCTAAAGACAAGAACTGATGAATTAAATAATTATAATCATTCATTTTTAGCATACAAAGGCACACATCAAGTTGAATACAAAGAAACTGTACCAGTCCGATGGATATGCTGTGAAAGAGATGCTGAAGGTGACGTCAATGTTGTACAATGCCATGAAAACCAACACATCAACCCAATCTGAGACAGACAATGAAGACGATTCTTCTATGTTGTCATTTGACATCTCATCAAAGGTATGATCATAGGTGGACAGCACTAATTTGGCAGTAGTGGTATTGATAAATTTCACAAATAAGTACATTTATTTATCGGCATTGAAATTGATATAAGACATTCACATGAATAAATCAATGAATCTAAATAACTATTGACAGATCTCACTTACCTTAAGTTGCTTATTTTGGACTAGCTGGGCTTTGACTTAAGTCATATTTTCTTGCCCTGACCTGGATTGATGGACTGTGTATATTTTATGAAAATTTATAGATTAGAAGGATTTTAACATATCCTATTTTGGCAGATAAATGATCTGAAAGAAGCTAGAAGGCTTGCTTCTGAAATCACAACTAAAGGAGCCACATTGTATGATCTCCTGGGTAAAGAAGTGGACCTCAGAGTAAGCGTGTTTAAAAGTCTCATTATTTATACAAGTTATATAATATCTGAAATAAAAGGTAACCCTAAAACTACATAATTAAATATTTAATGATTATCTCTATATGTAACATTTACTGTGTAAATTATGTAGTTAGATTAGACAGAGACCAGGCCCCAGGATCATGAAACAAACTAAGACTTAAGTCAAAATTTCCATCGCCTGTAAAAGTCTTATTAATTATTGGATTAATCTCTAAATATACAGATAACAACACTTTTGTAAAGCAATATTGAAAAATATTTTAATTTTGGTCTGCTTGACTTCAACAACATCATAGTAAAACATAAAGATTTTGACTTAAGCTTAAGATGTTTCATGACCCCGGGGCCAGAAGAGCTTATGTGGTAGTAAGGTGTCTGTCTCTCTGTTTGTTTGTTTGTCTGCTTGTCTGTAAACAATTTTTCAAAAATGCTACTTTCCCTACAGTTTTCGTCCGATTTCAATATGACTTGGTACACAGGTAGACTACACGAAGAAAAGTAATTCAATGTATTGGTTTTCAATTTAAATGAGCAGTATTGCCATGGTTACTAAAAAAAAAATTGTGAAAAATTTGTGAAATCCTTTCAAAATGCTATTCCTCCTGCAGCAGGGATTTTTTTACCCTCTGATTCCAGGGGCCGGAGCCGTCAAGATTGGGAAAAATAGCGATATTTCGTTGAAATTGGGAAAAATATCTTCATACAAATAAAAACAAGCAAAAGTCAAATATTTAATCATTTTCCTATTTTTTTTATAGTATGAAGCTGGCCTAAACCAGCTTTAGTGATAAGAAATAATAGAGACTGTTCAGGACCTTAAAAATGGTAAAGCCGCAGGGTATAATAACATTGTAAATGAACACTTTTATACAATGTTGTCATCTTTTTTACCTTTACGTAAGAAGTTCTTTAAAATAAAATTTGATAGTGGGTTTGTTCCAGATGAGTGGTTAATCGGTATTGTTTGACTAATTTATAAGAATAAGAGTGATTCAACACAGCCTGAAAATTACCGCCCTAGGCAAACTGGAGAGACTGACATGATGCACGTTTATTTATTAACTAACGATCCCGACTTTAATTTTTAAACATCGATCCCGCTTTAAAAAGTATGCATGCAACATCCGTAGTATTCTGAATAACTTTTCGGAACTCCTCGGATGGCTCATACATCATACATAGAGGACATAAACACCTTTTTGTCATTATTTTATTTTAATAATTTACAACTTAATACTTTTTTCATATTGGGAATTTTTAGGTATAATTTTGGGAAAAACATGCACTTTTCAGCATTGGGAATGGGGCCAAATTTCGGCCCCGGAGAGACCCTAAAAAAATCCCTGTGCAGTTTTGGTCTGATTTCAATAAAACTTTCTACACAAGTAGAGTACACTTAGATTCTTAATTCTTGATTTCTTTGAATGGTGTTGTCATGGTTACTAAAAATAGATATTTTTGTGAAATTCTTTAAAAATGCTTCTTCCCTTACAGTTTTGGTCTGATTTCAATAAAATTTTCTACACAAGTAAACTACACTAAGATACATAATTCTTTGTATATGTTTTTTTTTTTTATTTCGGTGAACCACGTTGCCATGATTACTAAAAATAGAATCTTTTATGAAATTCTTTTAAAATGGTACTCCTTCTACAGTTTTGGTTAAAACTTTGTACACAAGTAGACTAAAATTCACTGTGTATACTGGTGTCTCATTATATCGCGGTACTTAATTCTTTTGCATAAAAATTGTAATTCCAAATTTTTATTTAACTTTTCATCAAATGATATTCATAAACCTAACTATGGCCAAACTTTTTAGTGTCAAATTATTTTCCAAGCTTGCATCGTTTAATTTGTAGTCTATTTTTAAAACAGGAATTAAGTCTTAATTACCTCCTAAATTGGAGAGTCTCATTATATCGCGGTAAAGGAAAACATGGAAGCTTGTAGTTGACAGGGACTTCAATTTTATTTTTAAATTTACGATGTAATTCTACATGGAAACTAAACATAATACAAACTTCAGACTTTCAAAAATATTAACTTTATTATGGATTTTACTAGGATATAAATTCAATGGTCTAAATAAAATAAAAACGGGAATGGAAATCTATAAAAATATGTTTTATTTGAATAAAATTTTTTCCAACGGATGTTCCATACTTTTTAATCATCACAAAAGTCAACAAAAGTCGACAGATAGTCCATCAACAAAAAGGATATAAGCTATGTATCTGAATTTTTGGAATATACCGCGATACAATGGAACCCGCGATATAATGAGAATTGAGGATAACATAAGTCCATATATTGGTTTTTAGTTTTGATGAATGGTGTTGCCAGGGTTACTAAAAATAGAAATTTCTGTAAAATTCTTTCAAAACGCTATTTTTTTTCAGTACAGATATACCAGCAAAATGCTTGGATATTAGATTTCTAAAGTAAAATTTAATATGTCAGAAACGTTTATGCCAAACAGTAAGGTTGTTTTTGTATGGATGCATTTTGTTGCAGAACTGTAGTGAAATCAACAAGAACTTTCTTGTGTCAACGTATTTATAATAGTTACATACATTCTGTTTATAAATGGTGGATAAAAAAATTAGAAAAAAGCATTTATATGTTATTGAAAATATTGCAATACATATCGCAATACAGATAAAAATATTGCTATATATTGCAATGTGTAATTTTCATCTGATACTTAGCCCTACTGTTTTTCTAGTTTCAAGTCCAAGTGTTTGTTATAAGTACATATCAGGAGAATTACAGTCTCGTCAGAGTCATATTTATGTACTTCATGTACCGTATATACTCACCTATAAGTCGGTCCGCCTATAAGTCAGTTGTATTTTTTGAGGTTATTTTGGAGGGACTTGCCATTGACCCGCTTATAAGTCAGTACAACTTTTTGCCAGAATCAGTTGACAATATCAAATCAATGCTCATGTTTTAACCTGGTTTCAGTTAATATTTTTTAGAAATGACGCGGATATTTAATTTTAAATCGTTAAGAAAAATACATAATATACACTTAAGATAAAAATAAAGTTATTAAAATACGGAAATGCTTGTACAGGGTGTCCCAGAATATATGATACCATTTCAAAATTCTGTAAAACCTAATGTAATGAATATTACAAATTTTTAAATGATGCCCTCAAAATGACTTTCTATTTGTGTAATGACAATGTCTAGACATTGCACAAAGTTCCTTAACTTGAGACAGTTATGCCTGTCTTGGTTGTAACTTCTGGATTTTCATCAGAAGTAAACCTTTTATATATGTTAAGGATTCTGGTTTGGGTTTAGCAGCAGTAACCTAAGACTAGGATTGATAATTACAGTTTCAAAATGAAGGAAGCTAGCTCTTTTGAAAATCCATTATAGTTGAAATTGCAGTTTTTTGCAAAAGTTTGATGTAAATTTGATACGTTGCAATTTCATAAGTGTGAGAATTTTTTTGGAATATTTTGTTGCTTAAAAATTGTACTTATTCAAATATTTTTAGAGACATATATCAAAGAAATTGGCCAAGGGATGCGTTTTTGGCAGGTATTTCAAATGGTATCATATATTTTGGGACACCCTGTACTTTATGTATAATTTTAGAATTCATATATAATAAATCTAGACTTTGTTCAACGATAATCATTGGAAATATTTATAAAATACTACATTTCGCCATCCAGAAAAATGCTTATCTTTTTATGACTTGCCTATAAGTCGGACATAGAGTTTTGGATCAAAATTTAACTCCCCCCAAAAAACGACTTATAGGCTAGTATATACGTTATATTATGAAAGTTTGTGTAAGTATTTTTGACATTTATTATCCCATTTTCCTTTGTAGGAACAAAGATCCATTGTGATAGCAAAATCTCTAGAAATCAATGAAGTTGAGAGTGGAATTGGTGGATCCATCCGAGGGGTTGAGGTAATAAAAAGATTTAATTCCTTGGACTCAAAAATCAGATCAAATGCTCTATCTTGATTCATTCTCAAAATCACTTTGTTCTCCTTGCAGAATGAAATAAAGAAGTACCTGATGCAGCTAGACAATGTAGCATCTGATGAAGCTAATCTGGAGGCTAAAATCGAGAAAAAGAGGAATGAATTGGAAAGAAATGAAAAGCGATTACAAACTCTACAAAGTGTTAGGTAATTTATCTGTTCAAGGGAGAGAATTCACTTATATGTTTGTGTTTAGAGTTAGTATTCTGATATTAAAAAAAAAACGAAAGTAATTTGATCTTATTGTAGACCTGCTTATATGGATGAGTATGAAAAGTTGGAGGAGGACCTGCAGAAGCTGTATGAGGTTTATATGGATAAGTTCCGAAACCTGACATATCTAGAGGCCCAGCAGGAGGAGTACCACAGGGCAGAACAAGACAAGTTCGAGGTCAGAAATTCAGAGGACACATGTATTTTTTTCTTGTTATGCTAATTGTATTGAAGTAAAGTTCTTCTGTGGAAATAAAAGTAAAATGTGATTTCTGTACACAGGAGACAGAAGAAAAATTAAAACAGATGGCTGATCGTCTGAAGAGTGAGGAACAGAATCGGCAAAAGATCATGCCAGATGACATTGGTATGATGGGATTTTGAATTACACAAATATATACTCGTTAAAATAGATACATGGAAAAATTTCGTGTTGTTTTATAAGTTGATGCCATTAAAGATGATATGAATAACTGACATAGCCTGTTAAATATTCTTTTTAAAAATAAGCCTATTGTTTAACACCTGTTCATTTAATGTTGATTTAGACCTATGCTTGAATGTCTTGGTCTGCTTTTGATGAGTGGAATGTTATAAGTTGAGCTGGTTTACTTGGAGTATTTATAGTTGACACCATTTCAGATATCTCCCGCGACTCTGATGACGGGTTGGATGAATCTGATGAATCTGATACTGACGTTCAACAGCCCGTCCGACAGCGTCCTGACGGTCAGTACAAAAGTCTACATTGTTTATATCATTCTGAAATTGAGTGGAAACTTAATTTTAAAACCCAAGTTTATAACTGAAAAAGTTCAATTTTCTGAATTAAAAACTTAACAAAGCAATCAAATTAAAAAAAAAAAGTTTGGTTTAAATGATTCCATGCAGGCTAATAATTTTTTGATCCATTAAATTATTTGTGTATTTTATTGAAGCATCATGCAAAGTCTAAGTTCTTATTTACTACTATTACAATGCAAAGCTTGCTTGTGATTTTTTGTTAAAATGTTATATTAATAAAACAACAGTAGAAAAAATGTCCAGACCTGTGCCTGGTGAGTGAAATGTTACAAGTGTATCTAGTTATTCGGGAAATCAAATATAGTCAACACAGAAATACTATTCTGTTGCATCTTCGGGTTTTAGTAAAGTTAAATCAGGAAGGATGTACAATTAACCAGCTTAATTGAAACGAAAATGCAACCATCCCTTTAAACATACAATGTACTTGCTAATGCAGTATTTATCGAGTATATGCAGAGGTATAAATATTCATAGTTGCTTTATACTGGCTAGTCCTGAATGAAAGTAGTCAGGTACATTAAGTTTTATGAGGATCAGATAACAGATTAGATGTTATTCTATGACAAGTTATGACAGATAACCTATTTCTGTGGGGCATTGAATTTTAAATATTTAATTGTTTAGATTTAGTTTTGTTTTATTGGTTGATAAAAAGCAGGAAATGGACAAAGGCAGTACTTCATTATTTATGTTTGCTCCTGTCTTATTTTCTTTGTTTAGTTCTTTTATTCTACTAAAACTTTTAAAGTAAAAAAGAATTTTAAATGTTTTCAAATTTTTTTTTGGTTTACATTTTTCTTTCATGGTATTAATTTCTTTGGATATGAGGTCAGTGGCTTGGAGAGTAAACCCTTGTGTAGTGTTACTGAATAGCACACTGGCAAAATTTGCACCTAATAACAGTTTTTCATTTAAATTCAAATCTAAGAGAATAAATTTATTCATGAAACACAGTTTTTGAACTGGTGTGCTTCAAGAGCAATTTCCGAAGAACATTTTGTAGCACTTGAGAACAGCTGTGTCATATTACAGAAGTTGTTTTAATTTATTGCTACCATCACAGAAAAGAATTTTCATGGAAGTTTCCTACACAGTAACTTTGTTATGAATATTTGTGAATATTTTGGAGATATTAACAATGACAATGAAGCACTTCAGTTTAATGCAGTTTAATTCTATATCAAAAATTCTCTATACAGATAAGCATTCTTTGTACAGTATTTTGTTACGATATCAATCAGACAGCATTACCAAGAATTTCTTTCCATTGATAATTTTAATTTTTGTTAAACATGTATATGTCTTGACATTGAATTTGTATATCTAATTGGTATCTTTTCTTACATTTATATTAATTTCCTGCTTTTTTGAAAATATATGCAAGGTTAGTAGATTGAGCATTTATACCTACATAAAACACTGCATGATCAATTAATGAATAGTATCTTATTTCTCCTCGTATATGAATGAGAGTTTTATATTCTTGTAGTTTATGCTACATGTACATTTGTTAGAATATGTGGTTTTTAAACAAGTAAATTATTAATCCTACATTGAAGGCATTGAATTGTTACTGAAGTTGAATTGTTATTGATGTTGAATTGTTACTGAAGTTGAATTATGACTGATGTTGAATTATGACTGATGTTGAATTATTCTGTTTACAGCAGCAGCTGGTGAGAGGAAGCAGAGAGTGATGGGATCTATGTTGGCTGATGCCAGTGACGTATGTATAACTTATTCTGAACATATTGATGGAGCTTACATTTGTATGATACTTAAGATTGACTATTGCAGTCTTTTTGTGAAATTATTGAAACTTTGATATTATCTTTATTGTCACTTACTTGTAAATACATGTACATGTATTATGTAAAAAAATAATATACCTTTATATGCATTTTGGTTTCTGAAAAATTGACCTTTCTGCAATTAGACAACAGTAAGTTAACAGCAATGAACACTTAATTGTACAATATTTATACTACCTGATTTCATGCATTTGTTTTAACCCCCCTCCCCCTCCCCTCCCCCAGTCGACATCACACGCACATAAAAATATTGTTTGACAATTTACCTATGTATTACATGCAAGTATATTTTATTTCATATACTGTTCATATTAGAGCAGTTTTATTTTGTAAACACATTATAACATCAATTGCCCATGCCTTTACTTGCTAAGCTGCTTAATTCGAGCTTTTAAATGTAATTTTGACTGATTTTGCTCTGAACAAGAATTAAGTCACAGATTTTTTTAAAATCTTGTATGAAATTGCTTTGTGTTATTCAGTCAACAAGAGACAATAACAAATTCTACATACAAAATATAATTTTTGGCAATTCCACATTTTGTGATCCGTGCACAGGTACCTATTACTACCATGTGGACCTCATTTTCTCATAGTACGATTGCATGTATGCACATTAATGCAAACATCAACTGCAAACCCTTTTATATGTGAAGGAGTAAAAAGTGACAATTGTGATGTCAAACACTGATGCTCTGATGTCGAACAACATAGGTCCCCCCTTAAAAGCAAAATCAAATGGTGCTTCTCTCTCATTTCTTGTATTGGATATATAGTTAAACTTTGGTATCTCAACCATCAATATCTCAGATACCATGGATATGTCGAAGTGAGGAGGAAATCCAAACCACATATTCTTTATGTATTTTGTTCACTCAGAGTAATGTTTTTAAAGTTTTCTTCATCACAATAAATAGAAAAAAAAATATTAAGTTGTCATGTATTTTCATTTGAACAAAAATAATCATTTTTATATCTTTTGTACAGGATGATTCAGAAATTGATCTTGATGATGATGATGATGAAGATGATGATGACGATGATGATGATGACGATGACAATGATAATGTGAATGAACAGGATGAAATCGATGACAATGATTTTTAAAATACTTTTGTGATTTAAGTTTATATGAAATTTGTTCAATAGATCTGTTTATTTATTAAAGGGACTTTACAGTCGCATAAATGTAAACCGTTTTATGTTTTGACCAGTATATTGCATTCTGACTTACATGTATTTTACATTTTGGTTCACCTCTGTCTGGGAAACTATTGCTATGTTTTTGCACATGGGCATCTGTTGTGAGTAAACTTTTACCATGCTCAACTCTAACAGAACCACTGGGACAATTTGAACCAAGGCGGTAAGGATTCAAATTTGTTCACAAACTTTTGGCTCAGGTAAGCTAACAGTCTAACAAATGGGAACTTCTAAATTAGATAACCTATGAAGTTCACAGATACCAGTTATCCTTTGCAATAATTTTATATTTGTCCTACACCTGTTCAACTGTGCCTAATGTTTGGCATTTCTATCCCCATTTAGTGGTGTGCCCATCTTGGCAGAAGGCCAGTTTAATACATATATTTTTCCCCTCCCAAGTGGTATGCCACAAAGCAGAGACTGTATCTTATCAAGATCTTGATTAATTGGAACAGGGCATGGCCCTTCATTGGAATAAGCTTGAATCCCCTTTACCCAAAGATACTCTGTGCCAAATTTGGTTGAAATTGGCTTTGTGGTTCTAGAGAAATCAAAAAGATTAAGGTGAGAGAAAATAATCAGAAACTTTGGTGAGTTTAGAACAGTATTTCAGAAAAATAAAATCCTTTAGTGATGAGAATGCAAAGACTAAAAATTTTCTCAAGAGAAAGCAAGAATACATTTAACCAGAGGCATATGTGCCAGAATGCTTACCTGAGTTGTTCAATCATTACAATTAGAGTTTTAAGGATAGTTTTCCTAAATATTCCTACATAAAACTTGATACCTTGTTGTTGCCCCACCTTAACCCTAGGGGCCATGATTTGAACAAACTTGAATTTACACTTAATTGAGTAGCTTTTATATAAGTTTCATCTTTTCTAGCCCAGTGTTTCTTAAGATGATTTCAATGACCCTACCTTGCTCTTGCTTTTTGTGATAGAGAGCATAGCCTTTCATTTGAAGTTAGGAGATTGGCGAACAAGACGAGCAAAATGCCTATAGCTTCAAATGTATAAAAGTCATATTTACTATGTGAATTAAAAAATTCTTATCATTGAAAGATGTGAAATAATGACAAACAAAACTTTTATGCAGAAACTTCAGCAAAAAATCATTTTATGATTAAAAAAATTGTTGGTTTCGAACCCAAGGAATGAAAATTCTGAGTATCTATTTTCCTTTCAAGACTAACTTGCTAACTACTACACTATACTGCTCTAAACAAATGCATGTATTGGCGTTTAAATCATGTTTGTGACATGACCCTGACTAAATGGACTTAAAATATTTCTTGGAAAGATACAAATGTAGTGTCATGAAAGTATACTTTTAAAGGACAGTCAAACCTTGTTATCTAAAACTCATTTTTGCCCTCTTTTGTGTATGTATACTATTTCAAGGACAAATCAGATCAATCTTTGTGAGATTGGTGCATTTTGTTGAGATTTTACCTAAAGTTTGCCTTAATGTTAAATGAAATATCAAAGAAAATATTCTCAAAACTGAGATTTAATTTTTTCACTTTATCAAATTCTTGTATAATAGGCATTTTGCTTGCCTTGTTCGATTATCTTCTTTGAATCTTAATTTACTCAAGAATGCCCTGTTTTGTTGAAATTGGTCCGTTGGTTCTGGAGAACTCTAAAATGTGAAAAGTTGCCAGATGAAAAAAAACAAAGAACAACAGTTGATCAGGAAAACTCATTTGTGAATTCAGTTAAGGTGGATTAAAAGCTATATGCATGGCATGACTTCCACAAGACCTATCAAGGATATTTCAGTTTGGATGTGTTGAATGCTTTGGGAAAAAATCATATTTTATTTTTTATCTTAATGATGTGGATATTCTCAGCATAAAAAAGGAATATAATATTTTGAATTCATGCATATACCAATTATGAATATACATATGTATTTAACTTTGACCGAATTGCCCCCCCCCCCCCCCCCAACCCAAAGACCATGATTTGACCAAACTGGAATATCCATCATATAAGAAAACTTTTACTTTTTCCAACTTTTTTTTTGGCCCAGCAGTTCTTTAGATTTTCAGAATGATCCCATCACATTTTCACCATTTCTTAATTATCAAGAGGACATGGCTCATCTTTGAACAAACTTGATTCCCTTTCACCCAAGGATGCTTTGTTGAATGTTTGGTTGAAATGGGCTTAATGGTTTTGGAAAAGAATTTGAACACAGAATCAAATATATGCAGATGGATGCTGAACTTTCTTTGTGAAAAGAAGTTTAAGTTCAGAGAATATTTGTCCCCTGGTATAGGAAAAAAGAAGAGGGTGGAAAAACTGAAAAAAAAATATGCAGATGAGAAAGACAAGAGGCCCAAGGGCTTGGAATCACTCTTCTGATAAATTGTACAATCTATCTCTTCTATTTTAAGCCTCTTAGTATCTTTTATATTAAGAGCCTTGAAATTCCAAAAGTAGGTCAGCATAGCCTACATTTTGGATAACACACTCTGAAAACTGACAAAGTTTGATGATTATAAGCCCCTTATATATGAAATATTGAAATATAGCCATAAACTTCAACAAGAGGTCCATGGGCCACATCGCTCACCTGAGCACTGTGGCTAGGAAAAAAGCAAAAATCAGTTCAGTATTTAAAAGCTTTAATGCATAAGTGGTCCTGACATACCCCTAAAAGGGGGGTATGATTTGAACAAAATTGAATCTACACTAACTAAAGATGCTTACATATTTCTTTGTATGTGAATTTTTTTCCTACAAGTTTGAACTTTCACTATGGTCTCACCCTACCCCCTGGGTCATGGTTTTAACAAATCTGAATCTACACTATCAGAGGATGCTTCCATATAATTATGACCAATCATAGCTTTGATTTTTAAAAATTTTTCCTATGTATTCCTATGTATAACTTTAATCATCAATTGTGGCCCCACCCTATCCCCAGGGGGTCATGATTTTTTTCAAACATGAATCTACATGTACACTACCTTAGGATACTTTCGAATAGTTAATAACCAATCATAGCTCTGCTGTTCTTGAGAGGATTTTTTCTTTATTTTCCTATGTAAAACTTTGATCGTCCATTGTGGCCCCACCCTACCCCTGAGGGTTATGATTTGAATAAACTTGAATCTACACTACCTGAGTATGCTCACATATAAATATGACTAATCATGGCTTTGCTGTTCTTGAGAAGAAGATTTTTCCTATATATTCCTATGTAATACTTTGATCGCCCCACCCTACCTGTAGGGGTCATGGTTTTAAAAAAAATTGAATCTACACTACCTGAGGATGCTTCCATATAAATATGACCAATCATGGCTTTGCTGTTCTGGAGAAGAAGATTTTTAAAGATTTTTCCTATATATGCCTATATAAAACTTTGATCGCCCACTGTGGCCCCACCCTACCTGTGGGAGTCATTGTTTTTTAACAAAATTGAATTTACACAACCTGAGGATGCTTCCATATAAATATGACCAATCATGGCTTTGCTGTTCTTGAGAAGAAGATTTTTAAAGATTTTTCCTATATATTCCTATGTAAAACTTTGATCGCCCACTGTGGCCCCACCCTATCCCTGGGGTTCATGATTTGAACAAATTTGAATCTACACTACCCGAGGATGCTTCCAATTATAAGTTTTATATTTTGAAGCACAGTGGTTCTTGAGAAGATTGATTTTTAAATGATGCCATTAATTTTTCACGAATTCATAATTATCTCCCCTTGGAAGAAGGCGTGTCCCTTCATTTGCATAAACTTGAATCCCCTTTACCCAAGGATACTTTGTGGCAAGTTTAGTTGAAATTGGTCCAGTCATTCTTGAGAAGAAGATGAAATTGTGAAAAGTTTACGACGACACTGACAGACAACAGGCAAATTTTGATCAGAAAAGTTCACTCGAGCCTTCGGCTAAGGTGAGCTCAAAAAAGTTCTTCTGGTTTTTAACTATAATGACATTAATATGCAATAATATTGTAACTATATTGGATGCAAAAGTTTTGTTGGTGTTATCATCAACATAATGATAAGTATTTTTGATTTTTATTAGGCAGTGGCTTGTTCATCTTTCATAAACAATACAATGAGCAAAGCTGCAGATGGAGTTGAAAAAATTATGTACTGTTTGTTCTAACAATAACGAGTACAGCATAGGAGCTGCACATCAAACATTAGAAATGGAGAGAAAATTGAAATCTTTGTACAGAGCTGCCAACATTATGGAATGAAAAATTGTAAGGAAGGGGTCTAAGGGCCATCTAGGCACTTCAGCTGCTTGAGATATTTTCCATTTTGTTTATTTTTAAATGATATAATTTCAAGTTAGTAGAAACAGACAATGACAATATGAGGAAGCAATGTACGTACTCATGACTTTTTTTTATTATAATAATGAAAACTGAAGGTGGACAGTAAGGGTGCAACGATAAACCGTTTGACGGTATATCGCGGTATATTTTTCCACGGTTCAATTCATGATACGCTGAATTATGGATGTTTCGGGACCGCGATGTTTCGGGACCCCGACGTTTCGGGACCTGACAACACGTTTCGGGACTTGGGTTAACACTTTTCGGGACTTGGGCTAACACGTTTCGGGACTTCTAAATATTTTGTAAAGGAAATGAAATAAAACTTGTTTACTTGTGTTTTTATGTTTATACATGTATAATTTCTCAGTTTGATACACAATTTATAATTTAAGAAGCACTGATTGGAGTTTTTATTAGTTTTAAAGTTTGCCTGCGGCACGGAGGACGCCTGCCGAGAAAATCAAACGCCCGCGGTGTTGTCTCTTTAATTTCTTATTACAGTATTTGATATATTACCTTTATAAAGTATTTAGTTAACATTTGACCAAAATTTAATTCAATTTTTTTTTTAAATATGTATTTGATTTATTTATAGTGTTTGATACGAGAGTTTGTAGAATTAAAGCCGGGAGACAATCGTAACTGCTGTGTGAAGACACGGACGTGTTTTTCTTTC